TGGGTAGCGCTGTAGGTCACTGGTTCGAGCCTCAGCTGGGTCAGTTGGCATTTCTGTCTGGAGTTTGCATGTTCTCCTCGTGTTTGCGTGGGTTTCCTCCGGGTGCTCCGGTTTACCCCACAAGTCCAAAACTGAAATCTGGTAAGCTAAAATTGACCGTAGTGTATGTGTGTTAATGAGTGTGTATGGATGTTTCCCAGTGATGGGTTGCAGCTGGAAAGACATCCGCTGCGTAAAACATGCTGGAAAAGTTGTTGGTTAATTCCACTGTGGCGACCCCAGATTAATAAATGGACTAAGCCGAAAAAAAGGAATGAATGGTTCCCGATATTCTTTATTGTTTAACTCATACTAATAGGTGGACATAGCAATACTATAATGATGGGTTGTAAGGCTGTATGATATTGGAAAAATCTGATATTGCGATTTTTACTTTTTCTGCTAAATATATTGTCCTACGAATACAGTTTTACCGGATCTTTTCAATTGTTCCATTTAAAGTTTTCCTGAAGAGTCTAAGTGCCTACTCGCACTATGCTATCCGAACCGTGCCCAGGCAAGTTTCCCTGATCGTTTGAGAAGTATGAGTGCTCTGAATCGGGCTCAGGCACGGTTCACTTGGCCGGCCCTGGCCCGGTTGGAAAAGGTGAGCGCGGTTCACTTGGGCTTTGGCGCAGTACGCTTGTGTGTGAGTGCAAAACACGCCTAAGCCCGAAACTAAAAGCGAGACGTGACTTTTAAAGGACCGTTTCATATAGATTAATGAATCATTCTTGCTGTTCAGTAAACGTAAACTATCGTAGTTTATTCAAGATGCAAACTCCTCACTGCATGACAGCTGCGCACCTTCAGCAAATCTCTTAACTCCTGCAGCACAAGGACTTTATGATTGTTTATGAGCTTCAAAAGTGGATGATCTGTTTGGCGAAATATTTTATAAACGATATAGCTAAAGAAATCTCCACTGTGCTGCGCGAAATCGCTTACTGAACAGTGCATAATCGATGATGTAAGCGTGCCCAGGCCCGAATGTAATGGGAGTGCGGGCCGTCGGGGGAGACGGGAGGGTGACAAGCGTGCTTTGGCCCGGTTCAAGGTAACTGTACATAGTGTGAGTACGCCCTAAATCAAAGTCCCTTTAGGGCAAGTCATTTCACTCTGCGGCCATCTTTGAAACATCTCTTGGGCAGTATGTTTGGGCATTCTGTCTGAATGGGGAAACATCAAATTCTCCAAAACTACTTGCCAAGCTTATTTAATTTCATATTAGGAATCACCAATAAAATTAAACAACAATATCTTCAGTTTTATTTCTAAACGTCCACAACACACAAAATCTACAGAAACTCACGTCTGGTTCGAGCCCCTACCTTGGAGTATCGTCAATCTATAGGAAACGATGATTGGCTACTGTACTAGAAGGCAGGCTTTATTCGCCAGATAGAAATCGATGATTGGTTTCTGTACTAGTAGATGGGGCTTTATTCGCTGTATTGACCGTTACACTTTTCAACATTCAAGACTAAACGAGTGACACATCTTGTGTATTCTTAGTCTTTGATAGTATTCAGGTACAGAAATTGAAAAATCACAATGCAAAAAAATGCTTTTCTTACTTGGAGTTTTTGTCTCGTTTCTAGTCCAAAACTTCTTTATTATTATTTCCAAATACATACATTTTTAAATCAAGTAAAAATATTTAGTTTTACTTTCAGAAGTAATAGGTCAAAATGAATTATCATTTAAAACAAGCAAAACAATCTGCTAATGGGTGAAGTAAAATAATTTAGCTTTCATTTTGATATTTTTGGACTAGAGACTAGACTTCTGCAGCCCTAATGGGTTCACATCAAATGTGACAAACACTTGCATCATGGCACTTGCTCTGGTTTACTCACAAGATGTTTTTCATCTCAAAAGTATGTAATTCATTCATTTATTCATTCATTTTCTTGTCGGCTTAATCCCTTTATTAATCTGGGGTCGCCACAGCGGAATGACCGCCAACTTATCCAGCACGTTTTTTTACGCAGCGGATGCCCTTCCAGCTGCAACCCATCTCTGGGAAACATCCACACACACTCATTCACACCCGCACTCATACACTATTTACAATTTAGACTATTCAATTCACCTGTACCACATGTCTTTGGACTGTGGGGGGAACCGTAGCACCCGGAGTAAACCCACGCAAACGCAGGGAGAACATGCAAACTCCACACAGAAACGCCAACTGAGCCGAGGCTCGAACCAGCAACCTTCTTGCTGTGAGGTGACAGCACTACCTACTGCACCCCTACGTCGCCCAAAAGTATGTAATTTACAAATACAAATACTTAAATGTGCATTTGGTATGGTATGAACCCAGCAGAAGAATGTGGATGTGAATCAGCCTTCCAAACATGAACGACACCTGACGACACCTCTGACAACATTGGTTTTGGCCATTATTTTCATTGCTATAATTAGCTATAATGTTAGTTTGGTGAAAAGTAATCAAGAGCCAGTATTTTTATGTGGGGTGTATTCATATTTTTTGAGACTCAAAATCCTGGTAGCTAATGACTTGCATTTTATGAAGGACCACTGTCCTCATCCACCACCAGAGTGCAGCATCCACCTGGATGACACAACGGCAGCCATATTGCGCCAGACCACACACCACACACCAGCTAATAGGTGGAGAGGAGACAGAGTGATGAAGCCAATTATGATATGGGGAATGTTTAGGAGGCCATGATGGACAACGGCCAGTGGGCAAATTTGGCTAGGATACCGGGGTTAAAATTGAGTCAAGACCAAATAAAAAAAGTCTCCTGGTTGAATATTGTCCTGTTTCCGAAACTAAACCACTAATCTTCCCACAGCATATCTGACTGTCTGATATGAAAAACCTTAAATGGGTATAGAGTTTGTGTGGTTACTGCACTTTGTGGGCTATATCGAGTTAAACTGTGCTGCTGTTACATTTAATGCAGATATAAAAGGTTGTAGGTATTCTTACCTTGAAGTTGTTTTTCTACTCGCTTCAGCTCTGTTAGTATCGATGAAATTTCCTAAATGGTACAGAGTAATTAGGAAAATGTACAAGTCAAAAATATTCACAATAAGGCATTCATCATTAATGAACTCACCTTGTTTGAAGTTTTGGGAAGGGGAACCTCATTATCCAAACAGAGTTTACTCTCAATATCATCCAAGTTCCTGTCCTTGTCTTTGAACAATATCCTTTTAAAAAGATGAATTAGAAACTACATGTTACAAAAACACACAGATAAGATCACATTTCTATATGTATTTTACATTATTTTGAACTTCTCTGTAGTTTAGCAGTTCATGTAAATTTTTAATATTATGAACAAACAAATTGTTTAAAAACAATGTTTTGTGAACTGTAATGATAATTTTGCAATACAAACCAAAGTAATCGAACAGAAAATATTATAAATATGATTATAAAATAGTATAGATATTCTGAGGCCCACTCAGAAGTTAAAGGTGAAGTGCTTTGAAACGTGCATTTTTAATTAATGTTTGATGTAATCTCAAATGAAACATAAAGATAGGGTGGGACGTAGTGTAGCCCCTCTCCTTTAAAAAAAAAAAAAAACAGCCAATAGCGTTTTGTTTTCTCACAGTGCTGACAGTGAAAGTGTTTGATCCCCAGCACATCAAGTGAAAAGCATCTTGAAGGGGGCGGGAAACATCAGATACTATAGGGCATTTGATTGGTCACGATTTGACGAGCAGTTGAAGTGAGAGTTAGCTTGAACAAAACTATTGATCCATTTGAACAAACAGGTGTCAAACTTAGTTCCTGGAGGGCCGCAGCTCTGCACAGTTTAATTCCAACCCTGCTTAAACACACTTACCAATAGGTTTTAAACAAGCCTGAAGGACTCAATAAGTTTGATCAGGTATGTTTAATTAGGGTTGGAACTAAACTGTGCAGAGATGCGGCCCTCCAGGAATTGGCTTTGACATTGGTGATTTATACAGATGTGACAAACTACAAGCTTTACATATTTATATCTGTTTAACATCTCCTAAACATAAATTTTGCCTCTATTTTGGAGCACAATAGCTTATAGACATCATAAAAACTAACAATACTAATACTTACAAAACTTTATTTTACTTTCATGGCACCTTCAAAAACATTGTTTTAGAACAGGGGTGCTCAACCCTGTTCCCGGAGACCTACCTTTCTACAGAGTTCTGCTCAAACCCTGATCAAACACACCTGAACCAATTAATGATGCCCTAAACAGCACTTGATAATTACAGACAGGTGTGTTTGATATGGGTTGCAACTGAAATCTGCAGAAAGGTAGATCTCCAGGAAGAGGGTTGAGCACCCCTGTTTTAGGGTGCTTTCACACCTGTGAATCGATTCATGTTGTTCCGAAACAGAGATTACAAATGTTACATTGTTGCTCTTGGAACAGTTCCCTTTCACACTGCAAAGTTTCTAATCGGACCAAAAGAGCTAAAACAAGTCACGTGTGAGTAAACTCTCCTCACATTGGTCAGAGTGTCAGGGTTTATTTTGCAGAGTCCCGCTCAGGAGAGGTGGTGGTTTGGTGGTGTTTGACAAGGTGCACACGACGTGTCTGAAGAGTGAGGAGAGATACGGTGGGGAGGGGTGAGAAGGGTGGGCGACTTAGTCTATTTGAGGAGCGGGAGGGAGATGTGAGATTACAGGGAGATTATCACTCGTTTGTGGGCATCTGGAGACTTCCCACCCTACTCATAATTCTCTCTTCATATAGCCGTATGCCTATTAAATATCCATAAAACACAGTAATATAACCGCTCTCGGATAGTTTGCTTTCTCACTGCACTCGATCCGCCCCAGAGATTCACTTTATTTGGTAAATAAAGCAAGTTTGTCATATAATATATCTAGTAAAAGACCGAAAATATTACTGTACAAACTGCATTGTACATAAATCAGATGAACATTTTTTACATTAGTCAACAATATTACTGAACATAATTAAAAAACTGAATAAATATAGATTTACACACATTTACTCAAGTAAATAAACAGAATTAAAAATGGGCTAAAAATCAGCGGAATTCTGTGTGCGTAGATTCCGGGTTTGTCTACTGATATTATAATTATGTAATGTATATGCATATTTCCACCTGCGTAATATTACTTGTCTCCACCCTTCTATCACAACCAATAACACAACATTTCTCATCCATGCATTAGTTACTTCACCACTTGACTGCTGTAATGTACTTCTCTCTGGGCTTCCTTCTAAACTTCTCCAAAAAACTCCAACTGGTTCAGAGCCATGCAGCTCGTTTCATTTCTAGGACTTTATCTCATGAGCACATCACACCACTTCTTTATCAGCTTCACTGGCTTCTGGTAAAGTTTCGTATTGATTTTAAAATACTACTTCTCACTTTCAAGGCACTTCATAATCTAGCTCCTCAATATCTCACCAAACTTCTCCATATTTACACCCCTTCTCGCACTCTTAGATCAGCCAACTCTTTCTCCCTGGTGCCACCTCGCATTCGATTAAGCACAATGGGTGCTAGATCTTTTAGCTCCTTGGCTCCTCGGATATGGAACTTCTTTCCCCTGAATCTAAGGAGCAGTGATAGTCTTCACACATCTTTCAGTCAGTCAGGCTTTCTGACTTTTTTTTATCATGTTATTTTTCACTTGCGATGTGTTTGTACCTGCAACTCCTTATAAGCATTTAAAATCTTGTTTGGCAACTTTTTATTAATTGTTTTAATTTGTTCTGTTATGGCTGTCGATGCTTGTTGTAAAGTGACTCTGGGTGTCCAGAAAGGCGCCATTTACAAATAAAATGAATTATCATTTTATATTTTGTTTATAATTCCTTAAATACTTTGAAAGTGTACAGTATATATAATAAAATGCAATTTACTGCTTCACTGAACAATTTTTCAGTTCAAAATAAGAAACGGTACTTATTAAGTACTGTTGAAGTTAAATATAAGTTACTGTTGTTTAATTTTCACATTTGTTCTTTAATGTACATTATATTGGATTTATGGGAAGCTCTGCACATGTTTAACTCCATTACTGACCTGATTTTGCCAGCAGTTTTATCTACAGACTGTCGGATTTTGGAAGACAGTTGGGAAACCGATGTGAGCAATAAACTGTCCAACACCGCCTGCAAAAGAACAACCAGCACGACTGTGTCAATAAGTTACAAAACAAACAACATCCAGTCAATAAAACACTGAGGTAATTATACTTCATATCAGCACTCACACACCAGGATCTACAGAACAACATGTTCCCATCTAATGGCATAAACGTGGACTTAACAATAACAAACACTTGTTGTGTGTGTGTGTTATATCATGCTGCAAATGTTTTCAATAAAATCTAATTTATTTGGGATATTTATATTGATAAATATATGAAAAATTGAAAGTGAAAAGGCTCATACCGGTCTCACCTCATCCCGGTTCCAGGTGCGTCTGCGCAGGGCAGCTTGAGGGTCCAGGCTGTCCGGGGCATGAGGCCGAAGCTCCACTGGCCTGCCATTGATCTCTGAGGCTTTAGTGTGAACTACAGGGGGAATCTTCCGGAAGTTTAGACTTTCATCAAAAACTCTTTCCACGAGCTAAAGAGAAGGAGAAAAAGTGGCAGATGTACTGAGAACAGGTCAGGGATATTAATGATATTTAAAACTAATATATACAGTTCCATAAATATTTGGACATCAACACAATTGAGACATTTTTTGGCTCTATACACCAACACAATGAATTTGAAATGAAACGAACAAGATGTGCTTTAACTGCAGACTGTCAGGTTTAATTTGAGGGTATTTACATCCAAATCAGGTGAACGCTGTAGTAATTACAACAGTTTGCATATGTGCCTCCCACTTGTTAAGGGACCAAAAGTAATAGGACATTTAACAATCATAAATTAAACCTTCACTTTTTAATACTTCTTTACAAATGCTTTGCAGTCAATTACAGGCCGAAGTCTGGAACGCACAGACATAACCAGACCCTGAGTATTATTCCTGGTGGTGCTCTGCGGGGCCTCTACAGCAATTGTCTTAAGTTCCTGCTTGTTCTTGGGCCATTTTTCCTTCAGGTTTGCTCTCAGCACAATAAATACATGCTTAATCGGATTCAAATCAGGTGATTGACTTGGCCATTGCAAAACATTCCATTTCTTTTTTAAATGGCTTTTGCAGTATGCTTTGGGTCATTCTCCATCTGCACTGTGAAGCACTGTCCAATGAGTTAAGAATATGAGCCGAAAATATTGCCTGAAACGCTTCAGAATTCATCCTGCTGCTTATGTCAGCAGTCACATCATCCATAAATACAAGAGAACCAGTTCCATTGACAGTCGTACATGCCCACACTATGACACTACTACCACCATGCTTCACTGCTTAGGAACATGAGCAGTTCCTTTCCTTCTCCATACTCTTCTCTTCTTATCACTGTTTCTAGTTAATCTTGATCTCATCTGTCCATAGGATGTTGTTCCAGCACTGTGAAGGCTTTTTAGAACTGTAATCTGGCCTTCCTGTTTTTAAGGCTCACCAATGGTTTGCATCTTGGTGGTCATTAACCACAGTTGTTTCCGTGGTCTTTCGGGTCTTTAAGTTTTGCGCGTTTTAGCTCAGCAACACTAAAAAACCCTGAGCAAAAAATTTTTAAAGAATTTTCCAAACAGTTGTTTTGGCTACGCCTAATGTTTTTGCTATCTTTCTGATGGGTTTGTTTAGTTTGTTTTTTGACTGATAGTGACAGCTGTTTGGATTTCATCCTGAAAGTTGTCAGTAACAAATTCCAAATGCAAATAGCACTTGAAATGAACTCTGAACCTTTTATCTGCTCATTGTAATTGGGATAAGGAGGGAATAACCCACACCTGACCATGGAACAGCATAGAAGCCAATTGTCCAATTACTTTTGATCCCTTAACAAGTGGGAGGCACATATGCAAACTGTTGTAATTCCTACAGCGTTCACCTGATTTGGATGTTGGATCTGGCAGTCTGCAGTTGAAGCACATCTTGTTCGTTCAATTTCAAATCCACCCAATCCAATGCCGCCTTAATGAACAAAATAATTATTAAAAAAAAAAAAAAACAGACCCCAAACGTTTGACCGGTAGTAAGTAAGTAAGTAAGTAAGTAAGTAAGTACCTACCTACTGTAGTTACCTACCTGCCTACCTACCTACCTACCTATCTATCTACCTACCTACCTACCTATCTATCTATCTATCTATCTATCTATCTATCTATCTATCTATCTATCTATCTATCTATCTATCTATCTATCTATCTATCTATCTATCTATCTATCTATCTATCTATCTATCTATCTATCTATCTATCTATACATATGCAAACTGTTGTAATTCCTACAGCGTTCACCTGATTTGGATGTTGGATCTGGCAGTCTGCAGATGAAGCACATCTTGTTCGTTCAATTTCAAATCCACCCAATCCAATGCCGCCTTAATGAACAAAATAATTATTAAAAAAAAAAAAACAGACCCCAAACGTTTGACCGGTAGTAAGTAAGTAAGTAAGTAAGTAAGTAAGTAAGTACCTACCTACTGTAGTTACCTACCTGCCTACCTACCTACCTACCTACCTATCTATCTACCTACCTACCTACCTACCTACCTATCTATCTATCTATCTATCTATCTATCTATCTATCTATCTATCTATCTATCTATCTATCTATCTATCTATCTATCTATCTATCTATCTATCTATCTATCTATCTATCTATCTATCGTCTGTTATAGTATAGTATAGTATAGTATAGTATAGTATAATATAGGATACTAAGGAAACATATTGATGCCATGTTGATGCCATGGCCCCAAGCCCAAATTTTATTCAAATAGTGAATTTTGTGTGTGTGTGTGTGTGTGCATACACACATAGACTTTGAAATATAATATATTATTTCAGGTATGACAAACAAAGAGAGGTGACTTTTTCATTCTTAATCAGAAAACTATGGCATATTTAAAAATATATATTTGGTCTGTTTGTCAAACATATATTTCTCATTTTCATTTAGTTAAATTTATGAACTAAAATAATAAATAATTGATGAGTTGAGGTTGCATTGTCTGAAGCTTTTAAGACTGAACCCTAAAATACAAAACGATCTGGCTTTTAGGACGTATTTTTTGCAACAAAACATCCAAAAATGATGATTTTGTACATGTGATGGTATTGTTTTTCAGTGTATTGTATTTAATCACTTGTGAACAGCTTATAAAATGTGTATAGGGGTCTAAGATTTGCTGCAACAAACATTGACCATAACTGAACTACAAAAGGTAACTATGAACAGAAAATGGATGCACGCATGAGCATTTTGTCATTAATATCACATCATGTCCTGCATCAAGTTCGTTTACAAACATCTCTTTGGTCTTTGTTCTATTTATATTCCAGTCACCTGCATCATAGTTCATTTAACAGTGAACCAAAACCATTCAGAGTTCATTCTAATCAAACCAAACCTGCCACGTATGAACAAACCCTAAAACAACACTCCATAAAACACCTTAGAAAGTGAATAGAATTTTTGAAGTGTGTATATCTGTACCTCCTCTCTGGTGTCAATGGCTGAGCCTGGTGTGGTGGCAGCGGTGCTCACTGTAGTACTGGGTGCTGTGCCGGAGGAGCTGACCGAGTCGATCTCGCCTGCCACATCATGGATCTCTCGTGCCAGGATGGCCAGGTCCTTCGCCAGGTCCTGACTGATCCTGCGCACACAGGGGAACAACCTGTAAACTTTCAGATGGGTGTCTGGAAACTAGGGGCACACAAATACACACACAGCATGCAGATGACAGCACAATTTCACATTAGGTAGTCCCTACTTCATGCACATGCACAAATATGCAGTATTAAATCACATTAATGCATTTTATCAATGGCAAAATGTAGTTATTGTAACATATACACTGCTGTAAAAGTTTTAAATATATAATAAATATTTAATGCATTTAATTTAATGTAATAATGCATTTAATTTAATGTAATAAATATTTTAAATGCATTTAAATGCATTTAATTTATGCATTTAAATTCACCAAATGTGACATTAAAGACATGTAATAAAAAGTTTCCATTAATGTTTTTCAATTAAATATGAAGCAGCACTGTGGAGTATTAATAATAATCACACTGAAGAATGGAGTAAAGGTATTTATAATTCAACTTTGACCCACAGGAAACGTATGTTTTTAAAATTAACTGAAAACTTTTGCATTAAGTAAATAAAGACTTTGTGAGCATAAGAGACTAATTTTAAACATATAAAATCCAATATTAAATGATAAAATATAAAAAAAAAAACACACACTTCTTGACTGCAGTAATTTTGTTAAACATATAAATATAAGCAATAAAAATAATCAGAATTACATCTGAATCACACATCTATAAAGGGTTTGATTAAACGTCAATTAGTGTAGTATTCACAAAAAACACCAGGTGGCAGTATTCGCAAGCAGATCTTTGGTTGAGCCACACTACATGGTTTTGTTAATGTGTAAAAAAATCTTCATGAAAAACACAAAGGTTTTGTACAATGTATACAATTGCTAAATTTCATGTATATAAACAGCTATAGAAAAGTAAATAAATAAAAGACCCTTTAAAAAAATATATTTTTAACTTCATCCTTACATTCATAGGGTTTATAGGAATAAAGTCATATTATTAACAAAATAAAATGTGTTATTACCTAGCTTTATTTTGGTAACACCATAGTTATTAGACCCAATCCTTCACAGAATAAATGAACCATAGCGAACTGCAAATTTCTCCAAGGCCT